AAGTAGTGAGACTTCAGTTGTCTCATACTAGCTCTGCTCTCCGGGCTTTGCTGTCTGGTTGTTAACCTGTCTGTGCCTCAGTTTCCCCCACTTGTAAAGGGATAATAAGGACTAAGTTTCACCAGAAGCCAACATGTCCGTTGCGTAGCAGCTTCTCAGGTTTCCACACCTCCTTTTGCTCTGGACCGAAACGACCATTTCAAACATGCTTTGTGAAAACTGGGTTCTGCTGGGCAAGCACTGGCTCCTGCTATCCTCAGCTGGGAACGCATCCTGTGGGAACAGGCTTGCAATTGCAGGAAACCCTGGGCAGTGGGGAGAAAACCACTCTGGCTCAGCCTCCTCGACAAAAATGAGGTTAAAACTGGTGTGTTCCCACCCAGATGAAACAAAATGAGATTGAAAACATCCCGAGAGGTGCCAAGAAGACACAGATCTGCATTTTGGGGTCCAGAGGAGGGGAGAATTTCAACCCCCTCAACAGCGATGTGCACAGCCTGGGGTAAAAGTCCTACGTGGAGATCAGGCACAGCTCAAACCTCCTTCCTGGCTATCCAGAGGGGGTAAGGAAGCGGTGGCAGCGGCTCGGCTGGACCCAGGTCCGGATCCAGAACGCCCTTGAGACTGTGTCAGAAGAGCCTCATGGACTTCAGACGGATTTGCATACTGGATTGAAGTTCAGCCTGTGTCTGAGTGCTTTTGCTGTGTCCAAGCCATAATCCTAGAAATGTTCCTAGTGGGAAGTTGCAGCCTCCTGGTGAAATTCTGGTTTTAAGGACTCTTTTTTTTTTTTTTTTTTTAAATCTGAATTTCTTTATTTTTGGAAACAGTTGTGCTTTTGGCTGTAAGACATTCTTCTCTTCTGGGACGCCCCCCTGGAAGAGGTTTTCCTCCTGTCCCTTTCCTGGATGCTTATGGAGCTGCTGGAAAACTGATGAAATGGTCCCATTCAGGCTCTTGCCTGGTGAAATGGTCCTGGATCCTCTTCTGCTGCTCCGTATTAAATACTGACTTTTCCATTTTAGCAGATAATCATAGAATCATAGAATCATAGAATGGTTAGGGTTGGAAGGGCCCTTAAAGATCATCTAGTTGCAACCCCACTGCCATGGGCAGGGAAACCCTGCACTACACCAGGTTGCCCAAAGCCTCATCCAACCTGGCCTTGAACACTTCC